CTCACCCCTGATGGCACTCACAGAAATACACGTGCTCTCTGTGGTCACCAAGTGTCTCCTGGCCCCAGGGAAGCAGGTCAGCTCCACTGACAAAGGGACCACCACCACCACCAAGGGGATTTGCTTCCTGCTGCAGAGTAGGAAACAAGACATCATAACAGAAATACAAATTGCTCACTAATCTCTCTGGTGTTTGGCTAAATTATCTTTGTACCAAGCCAAAGGCTCCCGGACCAACTCCAGTTTTATGTGAAATGCTCTCCACACCTCACTTTCAGCTCTTGTCCTTCTTGCCTCAGCAAGGTCATGGAAGCATAGGATCATGGAATGGTTTGGGTTGAAAGGGACCTTAAAGATCACCCCATCCCACACTCTGCCACGGGCAGGGACACCTCCCACTGGGCATCCTGTGCCAGTGCCTTAACATCCTCACAGGGAGGAATTTCTTCTCAAAAACCATCTAACCTGCCCTCTGGCAGTGTGAAGCCATTCCCTCTTGTCTTCTCATCCCCCCCCCTGCCATGGGCAGGGACACCTTCCCCCAGCCCAGGTTGCTCCAAGCCCTGTCCAACTTGGCCTGGAACACTCCCAGGGATGGAGCAGCCACAGCTTGTCTGGGCAATGCTCTGAGCTGTTGCTGTCCTTATTCCCAAACTGCCAGCTGAGCCCCATTCACATTCCTGCACAAGGTGTTTCTCCACACTGGGAGCACTGCAATGCCACCTTTGGCAGCTGAGCTGACTCTGGCACTTCAAAACTCCTGCAGGACCCATTTTCACCTTTATACAACATCAAATCTTTGGAAAAACCCAAAGGACTGCAACAAGGAGGAAAGTACAGCTCCTGAACACGTCATTGGAATGAAAATTTAATAGGTTTATGGAAAGATCTGACTCAAATCTGTGTCTCTGTTGTTCTAAATTAAGATCAAGAGGATCTTTTCCTTTCTTCACACAGAACTGCAAGGAGACCAGATGTGGCACTTAGTGCCATGGTCTAGTAACCATGATAGGGTTGGACTTGATGATCTTTGAGGTATCTTCCAACCTGGTTGATTCTATGATTCAGGAAGGTTTGGTTCCTAGACTAACAAAATCCATTGCATTCCAGGAAAGATATAGCTTAGCCTCTCCATTGCTCTCCTGCTCTGCTAACAACAAACAAGAACACAAGTTAACAGAGGCTGAGCAGCATTGGAGATCCTTGTCCAGAGATATAAACACATAGGAACTCAACTAAATTTAGTTCCTTGCTTCATAATGAGCAGCACAGCAACAACTAAATTCCACCAGTCTTCACCAGCACGGGCAGATCATGAACCAGTCCCATGGGAATGAAGGATCCATGTGGTGGATCTAGCAAGGAGTGACTTGCCAGCTGTTTCCCCCAGGAGTACTCACAGCATGGCGATGCCCCAGTGCTTGCCAGCTCTCTCCCCAGCAGCCTGGAAGCCAGAGAGGCCGATGAGGGCCACGGTGGGGGTGATGGTCAGGGGGCCGATGTAGCGCAGCAGAGCTCCGGGCAGGCCGAGCAATCCGATCACCACCTCGATCAGGGATGACATGATGATGGCACCTTGGATCTGAACACACAACAACAGCACAGAGGCAGCTCAGTCACATCCTGCAAGCAAAGCCAAACAGTCTCTTTCTTTTGTTTTTTTTTTTTTTTTCTGCTCTGGATTACAAACTGCAGTTAAAAGAATTCAGTGACACAGAAGAACTCAGCACATTTTTCGGCATAAAACAGCTCATTATTCTTTTAAGTGACTTATTGCTTAAGCATAACACTTATGGTTTTTTTTTTTTTTTCTCCACAAAACTATGACACAGCAGACCAGTGGGCCAGTCTGGTAGCTGTGTGGAAAGCACATCACACTGTCAGACAGGAGACCTGGGGTCCAGGCTAACCTTTAAGCTCTCAGATCGAACCGGCAAGGGTTGGTGCGCCACGAGGTGATGCTCCTAGCTCCTAGGGGCAGAGTGTGTGCTGCATTGGTCACAAGTGCTCCTTAGAAGCTGGATTAGAGCAGCGTTGTGGTCTCAGGAGACTGTCAGCCCTCTTGGCTGCAGGGCTCTTGGCAGGATGTAGCTATGGTTTGAACATGGGGAAGAGAGAGGGGTTGTTTTTAATTAAGAAAAAGTTGGCAGCCCAAAGCAACGGGATGGGAGATAAATTCCATGACACACGCCTGAATTTGGACTACTCTAGCTACCACTCTAGCCTGAGGCCTGGGCACAACCCTCGTCCTGGGCCCTGCAGAGCACGGCGACGTTCCGACTGCAGTGCTGCCAGTGGGGAAGGGCTTTGGGGCATTTCAGCAAGTCTCTTGGGAGAATCAACATCTTATCACAAGAGCCTCCAACTTAAAGACCCTTGGGGCTGAACCAGATTTGCTAACTGCATCCACCTTCCACGGGGCAGCCCACTGCACAGGGACAGCAGGCAGGACTGAACTGTGCCAGGAGGACGAGTCAAAGTTACGAGAAGAGTATTGAGCTCACTCGAGCATGTCACTGCACATCTTTTGAAATGTAACTAACTCCTTGTATTTGCTGTCCAGCAACGAACAGGTTAGAAAGGATGAAGACTTATATGAAATGAGCAAAGGGATATATTCAGATGGAAATCGCAGTGGAAGAAGAAATTACCAACTTAAAAGACAAGAACACACAGATGTTGGGTGAGAAACTTAACTGGAGTTGGACAGAGCGACAGCTAAAGGTTATTCCCACATTACCTCTCGGATCCTGGGGTACCAGATGTGCTCAGTGTGGAGCAGCTCTGTTGTTCCATTTGTAACTGTTATGTCTTACAAAAGGGAGAGAAGAAAAAACACAGGTATTTATTCCTCAGCCATCACTGCACACAAAACAAACCTCTCCTCACGCTGTGCCTGACAAACCTTTGCTTCACACCAGCAAATCTCCCTCGATGCTGTGTCTGACAAATGAGCCTCAATTTACACAGGGAACAAGCTCTGCAGTGCTCCAAATGGAGGAACAACAGGCTCACATTCCCCAAGAGCCAATCACTCATTTCACCCTCGGCAGCAAAGTGGAAAAAAAAATCATAACTTCCAGAATGAGAGGTCAATTAGGGTTTCCTTTCCCCTTCCAATAAGTGGATGAATGGTGAGTTTCTCAACTGCACCCTAGGAATCACACACTCCAAGGCTTGTTGTTCCACCAATTTAGGTCACTCACTGAATGAACTGACCCGTGGTGACAACCCCAACTGGCATCTTTGGAAGGTGAAAAGGTTCAAGAGGAAGATGCAGCAAAGCTCTTTCTGAAAGGCTGGAGAGGTGTAACAAATTGCTTTGCCATCCAGGGTTATCAGACAGCATTTTCCTTCCACAAGGTGTGTTATTAGCTACTGGCACACTCTGAATGTGAACCAACCAAACATGTAATATAAATTATTACATACATTTACAATATAAATATAAATTAAGCTGGCAGAGAATCAAGAGGAGCCCAGGGAGGAACTGCCCCATGCTGCTGCCTCCCCCTGCCCACAGCCTTGACCCTGCAGACCACAAACTGCCAGAGCTGTTTCCACTTCAGTTTCTACCCTGATTTAAAGCCAAATCCCACCCAGCTTTCCTGCAGTTTCCCTCTAAATTTAAGACCTTTCAGGATGATGACGTTAGCAAAGGAAAAGTTAACGTGAACATCCAAATCTTGTCAAAACCTGTCAGGTATGACTTAAACAGGGAAAAATCCTGGTCTGGAGGTGATGCTGAACATTATTGCTCAAAACTTCCTCCTACTCAGCTCAACAGGACTCGATTGGACTTGCTGTTTCCAAATGCTGAGGAGGAACATTAATGGAATCTTTCTGCCTTTCTCTTCATCAACAAACTGTTTTATGCTCCTGATAGATTTTTTTCTGGCCATAATTTCTTACAGTAAATAATCCCCAGAAACAGAATTCCACAAGAGCATTTTAACAGTCTTTTTCTAAGGCACAAAATTGAACTTTTCCACATTCCCTGCCCATGGCTTCCAGTTTCTGCTCCAGAAGGTGTGGCAGTTACACTCTGTGTGCTCTGGGCCATTGATCACTTCAACCTGAACAAGCATAAATGACAATTACCTGTATTATTACATTTCCACTTCTCCAGAGAGAGAATTGCTCTGGCAGGTGCTAAGAATGCAAAAGCACTGGCTTGGAACAGGGGCAACCTGGTGGAAAGGGAAAGGAGAGATGCTGACATTGGTACCGAGGCAGGACATCGACTGCAGTTAGGTGGTTACTCAGCCTCAAACCACCCTTTAGTGAGAGTGATCAAACGTGAAAGGTGAGAATTTCTTCCCAAAAAAAAAACCCAGGCAGAGAAAGGCTAAGACTCCACAAGTCAGAGAGCCAACAGAAGACACTGCTTGCCCAAGGGAACAGGTAAGGAGAGCAGCACACAGGTACCAGGCACTGCTGGCAGCTTTGACTCAGCAGCACAGGGACACAGATGTGAGCATCAGCTGAACATGCAGCTCTTCCCACCCCACCCCATGGACAAAGCTCTTGGATGGAGCTCTGTGCACACTCAGTCCCTTCCCTCTGCACAACTCCACACACAGTCACTCCTACACTCATCCCTAAGTGCATGTGCAAACAGCTGTTGGGTTGATAAGAGCAGATAAGATGTACCAGGTGGTTACCACAAATACATACAAACACTGCAAGAATTTCAAGATGACATTCTTAGCATTGGTGTTTACACTTCCCAAAAGGCTTAAGATCTCAGGAGCATCTCTCAGCACCACGAACCCACTGCAGCTTGCGTAACGACACATCCAGATGTTACTTAACTGCAGACAAGATGCACTTTGAACTGTTCTATAAATACTGACATTAATGGAATTGCAATCCCATTCCCTTTCCCTGCAGATCCCAACTGGAACACATGGAACAGGTAATTGCTCATGGACTGCACTGTTTATGGCTGTTTTACAGCCACAATGAAGCTCCTTGATGCCAGGGCAAACACCAGCACAGGAAAAAGAACTGTAGCAGATTCAGATAAGGATCAGAAAAGGCATAAAGAAGGAAAAATATGGGGAAAAAAACATTATCCAGGCTGAACACAAAAAAAAAAGCAAACCAAAAGCATGTTACTAACAGTGGTACAGGTCACAGGTAGGAATCTGGAGCAGCTCAACCACCACTGGGAAGGAGTTTGGACCATGGGCAACCTAAAACCTTCCAAAAGTGCTGAAACCTGCATCAGAAACTCAGATTTCATAAACCACAGGAGCCACCTGGGCACAGCTGACTGGCATGCAACTCCCTTGGGAGATTCTCCAAGCCTGATCTCCGGGAAGACACGGTTGGGAGCTCCAAGTGAATGATTCACCTCATTTTTCCAGGTTCATTAAGCAAGCTGAGCAAGCTGGTGCCCATGGCAAGACATGCAATGCCCATGACAAGCTGTTACTCCTCTGTCCCACCTACACAGCCCTCTGCACCCCCAGGGACTCTGAACACACACTGCAAACACATTCCCTAGTGATGGAGTCAGGTGCACAGGGACTTGGGCCCAGGCTGTGCTGCACCACACCAAATATGCTGCACACACATGGAATGAGCAGCTCTCAGCTTGTCCTGCTTAGCTACCTGCTCAGGTTAGCCTGGGATAGTGACCAGGCTCAAAATATTGGGATTTTTCCCCCTCTGAAGAAGAGAAAAAAAAAAAAAAGAGTATTTCTAATATTTTTACAAGTTTTTTTTAAAACTTCTTACTCCAAATCAGCCAAGTAAGATCTGTCTCTTTCTGGACAGACAGTTGCAGTTGGGAATGTGACTTCTGGATGTTAATCCAGGCATTTATTGCCAGCCAAAGTACCAAGGGCTTAAAGTACTAAAGCTTAGGAGTGGGATATCATTTTAATTTCATGTCTAAATTAGCGAGTTGCTTGCTCATCTTTGGCAGCAGCTCCCGGGGAGACAGAGCATTCCACACCGTTAGAGGCACTGGGAAGTGTCTCATCACCTTCACTTGCCACTCAGAGGTGGGAGAGCTCAGGGCACAGTGATGGGCACAGCAACAGCCCCGAAACACTGAGCTGGATTAGAGCTGTGCTGATTATCTAAGCCACACTAATTACCCTGAAGCCCTGCCAAGGCTTCTGGCTTACTGCAGAACCTAATGAATAGCTGGAATTCCTCAGGCTAGTCTGGGTACCAAACTGACCACAACTCCACCTCAGAATGGAGCTAAATCCATCCTTAAGGCCCTTTAAACCATGGAATTTGACCTTTTGAAACCAGAGTGGCTTTATTTGCTGAAATACTTCACCGTGGACAGACTTTCCAACTAACACTTCAAGATCTCATTTAGAGGCTGTTGCTGCTCTATCCCATTCCCAGCCTTACATAAACCCAGGATCACATGGGAAGGAGTTATAAAACATCCAAGCGTGGAAATTTTTGCCTTAAATACAAGTTCAGTTATTTTAAGAGCCAAACAAGTATATAAAAAAAGGTAACTACAGTGCAAGGGGGAGTCCCTGGGAAGGGAAAAATCCCTGTAGGATGGAGGATAGGGGTGGGATTACACAGAGGGAAGAGAATTCCAGTGTGATGGGACCATCATTTTGGTCCCTTTCCTTCTGACAGAGCCCCAAACCACTCCATAGTAAGCAATAAAGAATCAGGATTAGTTAGGGGAGAAAACCATGACAAACTTTAGTTCTGTGAAGAGATAAAGTCTCAGGAAGCAGGAAAATGAGCTCCTTCTGAGCTCATCTCCATCCATAGCTCTGCACTTCCAACAGAACTGGAAGGTTTTACACCTCCATAAATCTCAGGAGGAGACACTCAAAGCTGAACAGTAAAACCTTATCATCCAGTTCCTGCCTAGGTCATCAAAACCCTCCATTTCCTAAATGAAAGACAAATTGAAGATGGGGAAAAAAACACATCACTCCCATTGGAAGGAGGTTCAAATCACCAGGGGGAACAATTCTGCTCCTTCCAGATGAGGTACTTGAGGATTTATGTTACAGCACAGAGAGCCAATGGGGCTGAAATGATGATTATTAACTCTGGGGAGTCTTGACTAAAAGAAAATACATCAGGGATAGAAAATTATCTCCAATTTCAATAGTTTTCACTGTGCTGCTTTGTTATCAGAATGAACTTTTCAGACAAAACAGAGGAGGGATCTCCTAAGAGAAAAGAGGTTTTTTTCCAAAGGAAAAAGACCAAGAGCTAATTGAAGTTAACTAAAATAGCAACCAAAGATTACATTGGAACACCTGCAATATCTGGAAGATGCTGAGCTGAAAAGCTGATCTCTCACAGACTCCTGCACCCTCCTGAGACTCCTCTGCCACCCAAAGATCCTGTTTCTTAGCTAAGCCTTCACAAACGTGGGAGGTGTTGAGCCATTTTCCATGGGAAAGCAACATTTCAGCTCACTGTCCTGAAGCTGAACTGAAGGACCCAAGAACCAGGTGCCCATATGAGGGAATCCTCTCAAAACCTGCCCTTTTCTGCTGGTTTTCCTTAGCACTCTTGGTTTATTCAAGGAGATGCAGAAGTGACTCCACAGGTGTCAGCTATTCCCAAATTTAAGTCACCACACCAAACATCTCTGCAGGGATCACTGTGGAACACACAAGATTTAGCTGCATGTTAACAAAGCAACATCCTGTCCTTGCCAACAGCAGATTTCTGCAAGTATTTGCTAACTGGGCTCTTGTTTCATCCTGAGCAGAGCAAAGGAGAGGGAGAGACACCCCTGAAGGCTTCACCTTTGTGTGTGTCTTCCCAACTTCAGGAGTTATCATTACCTGCAACTCAGAGCAACTAACAATTAAAGCCTAATTATCTGCTGTATTGGCAGGTAACAGTGACTCAGTTCAGAGAATAACAAGTTACCCTCAGTACTTTTTCCTACCTTTGCAATTTGTCAATCCCTCTAACAAGATTGAGAATACAATTTGTTGTAGGACTAAATCACAACCAGCTCAATATTGGCAAGAACCTAATATCCTTTAGGAAACTAATAAAAACACTCAAATGAGTTCCTCTTCACCAAGGTGTATGAACTTTTCCTTTCCCCAGAAACACTTCTCTGCTCTTGTGGGTTTCCCTCCTCCTTCGCCCCTCTCCTTGCTCTGTTTTCTTACCCTTGAAATGCCTTCTCTGATTTCAGATCCACCTTTTTTTGGCAGCAGCTTTCCAAAACCTCTCCCAAGCTGCTCTGTATTTGACCTGCTATCTTGTGTTTCATCCTTTGAAAACAGACCACCTCCCTCTTGGATCTTAGCCTGCACCCAACAGATGTCTGATCACCATCTCAACAACTGGACTCAAGTCCCACAGCTCACCTGCACCCAAAGGTTGTTTGCAACAAGGTGGTGATGCCCACACAGAAGAAGATGGTCCCAATCAACTGGCTGGTGGCCCACTGGTCAAAGCCCACACACATGGCATCAGCAAGCAGGAAGGGCACGGCGATGGTGCCACTGAAACACGTCAGGTAATGCTGTGGAGACACCAAAAGGTTGTCAGTGCTGCAAGGAAATTCATTTATCACCATCTTTGCTTTGGCACTGGCTATCTTTGCTTCTGAACCTCCACCAAAGCTCTCACTTGCTGGTGAAATATCTTCCTCCCATGTCGAGCTGTCCCTTGGGAATCATCCCTGTTTCTGTAGGATATTTCAACAGCTCTGGGGCTGCTGCTCTTGAGGAGGAGGTATCTGGGTAACTGTGCTCAAAACAGCCTGGAGCTCAGAGGAGCAGATAAACACCTCCATTCACTGGCAGCTGTGTGAAAACCCATTCACTCACAACCCAAACCCACAGACCAGGATGCAAACAAACTCCCAAGGACCAAAACTGGGCACTCCTTCATTCTTTCTCAACCCAAAGACATTCAGCAAAACAAACAAACAAATCCACCATACTCAAGGAGGCAAGTAAAAATAGAAGTGCTCCGGAACTGCCTGTCCTTGAGGAAAGGCAGAAATAAAAGGATGCTCTGGAATGTATTTGTTTGGAGATCTCAACAGACTTTATATAGATATGAAGGGATTCTCAGCATTCCTGTGGGACAGATGTTGTTTCCACTGGAGAAAGGAAGGAGGTGAAATGAGCTGTTGTGCCCCACACAAGTGAGTGGCTGAGCTGGGGGGAGGGCCCAGCTCCCAGTACAGCTCCACTCACTCCAGGGAGCACAGAATTTGCCTGCCCTGACTCCCTAGCAAGGTCCCAGGGTGATGCTCTCAGAACTGAAACAACTCCAGTCTCAGCTTCAATATTCACAATGACAGACTAAACCATTATCTCCCTCCACCTTTAATTCCAGAGGTGCCAAAAGCCTCTCCTGAAGCTCAACACTTTCCATTTGCTCACTAACTTGTGTTGGAGGACTAAACAGCTAAGTGAAGCTCACAAACACATAAGCAGAACACTAATAGAGACCATTATCCACACCATGTGTGATCAGCTACAGAATAAACCATCTTAACACCTCTTTCAAACTGATCAGAGCGAGGAAGAATAAAACCACCACGTACACAAACGCAATGAACTCGACAGAAAACACTCAACAAGCTTTAAAAGTTACAGAGGAAGAACTCCACCTGTTTTGAAACTTACCTGTAACCCCAGAAATATGCAGAGGTACCAAGGAGGAACATCTTCAATGGTGTAAATCATGTCAGTTCTCTGGGCATCCAGGCTGCCACTGCTGTCCAGTGTCTCGGCCAAGGAGCTCTGCTCGGGTGGGAGGGCAGGGTAGGACAGGGGGCAAGACACAGAGGACAACAGCAAATTACTACCACAGCTGACCAAAGTGAATGGGAACCATCAGGCAATTCCCAGACACTCCCATTCAATGCTCATGGGTGACATTTTCCAAGCCTTTCACCTCTGAGGATGAGCTCAGCTCCAACTCCCCAACACATTCCTCTCTGTCTGCCATTCCCTGCTTATTTACACTGACACACAACTGCTGGGTCATGATACAACGGATCTGGCAGCCAAAAGGGGCCCAAAAATGGGATTAGCATGGCAGGACTGATTACTTTTAAAATGGAAAAAAACTAGGGAAGAAGTGGAACTAAGCAGAAGAGCCAAGAGTGGCTGTTTCCAGAGCAGAATAGCTCTAACCTTATGTAAGAGACCCAAAAAGTTTCCTCATCAAGGCAATTACTTCCCTGCTTTAATTCTCACTCAATTTCATCTTGGTTAGCCTTTTTAGCCAAAGGATTTATTGGTTTTGCTTCCATCCCACACTCAGTGCTAATTGTTGTAACTGACACAACTCAGGCCAACTTGGATCAGTCCAGCAGATTTCCTCAGGGAATTTACACTCCCCCAGGAACCCAGTGGGACCACACTCTGGTCCACCACGTGCCCCAGTTCACAAGGAGCCAACAGACAACTGGGCACACACATTCACACATCAACCTCCCTGCAGGTTTCCCATCAAAACAACGTCCAGCTCCACCATTTCCTCTTCACAGCTAAGTTCAACAACTTCCTTCTAACTCTCTGGTTTGGAAATTCCTGAGAACAAAAATATAATGCTCTGAAGTCTCAATAGCAACAACAAAAGCAGGAGGAAGTATCAGGTTTTATCGTTTCAGATCAACTAGCCAAAAATGACCTTGTGTAACTCCTGTTCTGCCCCAATCCACACTGGGACACAACCTGAGCACGTGAAGTCACCTCACACATGGACTGGGAGCTCTGCCAGACTCGTGACTGTCTCCAATGGTCTTTACTTCTCCAAAAATCCCAACACATCCACGGATTATGCTTAGGCAATCTCCATTTGGGTATCACCTTCAAGGTCAGAAAAGCCAAACTCAGCTATGGCACTTCCCTCTCATCTCAGCTTTCTGTTGGGAAAGCAAATACCACTGGGATAACTCCAGTTCCAAGAGTTTAAATGACCACAACACTGTGGAAAGGTTGAGGGTATTTGGAAAAGCAAAATACATAAACACTGACTGCAGAAAGCTCTTTTAAACCATGCTAAGCACTGAGTAATCTGCTCACCAGGGAACAGCTCCCAAACAGAGGAGTAAGGGAAAGTGTTTGCTCCCCACCCAACTCCTCTGGCCACTTTGCAGCACTGATCACATGTTTTCATTGACTGAAATGAAATGAAATGACCTGATTCCCTGAAAATAACGAACGAAAAAAATCAAGGATTTCAATTACAGAATCATTTGGGTTGGAAAAGACCTCCAAGATCATCAAGCCCAAGCGTTAACCCATCACCACCATGTCCATCACTAAGCCATGTCCTAAAATGCCACATCCACAGGTGTTTTGAACACTTCCAGGGATGGTGACTCCACCACTGCCCTGGGCAGCTGTGCCAATGCTTGACAACCCTTTCCATGAAGAAATTCCCCCAATATCCAACCTGAACCTCCCCTGGCACAGCGTGAGGCTGTTTCCCCTTGTCCTATCCATTGCTCCCTGGGAGCAGAGCCTGACCCCATCTGGCTGCACCTCCTGCCAGGGAGTTGGAGAGAGCAAAAGAACTTGGGAAAAAGATAAGGAAACCCTCATGGCAATCAAACTATGTATAGATCCAAGGCAGGGCAAGAGGTAGCTGACCCAAAGCCAAGCAGAAGGAGGAAGACTCAACAGCCAACAGAGTACTGAACAAAGAGCAGGACACTTATCACACTAGAGGTTTCTTCAAAGAACTTTGTCAGGAAAGCATATGTTTACTCAGAGAAAGTCGTGTGAAAATTTCGTGGTCATAAACCAGCTCTGCTAACCTTTCCCAGAGAGACTCTACAAACACACCCACATAAAGAAAACACACGTGTGTGTGTCTGCCTCATCCCTCCCCTCGCTGCACCACAGGCTCCACCTGAGAACTTTGCTCACCAGCAACACTGTTTATTCAACATTTTGACTAAGAGGTCATCAGACACTTTCAGAGAGGCTGAGGTCATGAAGGAACAGCAGCAATGGTTGCAACATCTGCTCGTGAGGTAGGAACAGAGAAGGATCAGCAGAAATTAACTGTTTGCTTCATGAATCCTGTGAGTGTTGGCTTGCTGGAGCCTTTTCCACATGCCCTTCCATTCCCTCCTATCCTACCCCCCTCTTGGGCCAGCAGAAAGCAGAAGTGATGCTCTGTTTACACCAGGAAGACTATGGCACATGCAGCAAGTTCATTAGTCCTTTTAGAGCTTTTCACTTGAGATTACATCAGTCCTCAATTAGCCTGCAAAGAACAAAACCAGCACCAGGCCTAGAAACCAAGGAGCTGGTCCATGGCACAGAGAAAGGTCTTTGGGTACAGGATTGACCAACTGAGCTTTTCTTTGGAGAGTGAAGGTTACACACCTTTTAACATAAGGATTGCAAACTTCAAGGCAAAATTGTCACAGCAATGTCTGTCCTACATATCAAAATGGTCAGATAAAAAACTGAACAGGATATTCCTCATTCCTTCCACAAGCCAGACTTAGCTCTCACCTCAATCAAACCTGAGCCCTGAGGAGCTGGAGAGCCCAGGTGAGGCCTGGCTACCCCAGTAACTCACTGGGTAGTCACTGGTAGGCATCTCCAGCATGTGCCAGCTGGTTTAATGCTGCCTCGGGGCTGGTGCTTGCCAACTGTGCCACAGGGAACTGCTGGGAATGAACTGCACCTTCCTGGAGGAGATACTGATCACAGACTAATCCTTTTAATTATTTGTAGCTGGCCAGAGGTGGAACATGCTGTGCTTTATTTTTTTCATTTTTCTGGTAAGTGTAAACAGGGGGAATGAGGCAGTGGTGAGACACTGGCACAGGTTG